AGTTTCAAACACAAAATTTGATTATGATCCATCTGCAGTGCCGGACTAATGACTATAAATCCAATATAGTTGCCGGAATCCCACATAACAAACCCACCAAGAGAACATAGCTACTACCTCACTGAAACTAAGGACTCACCTCTCCACTGGCCATGTACCTCCTCATAGCTCGTTTGCGGCGGATGGCGAGCCCTCTGCGGTACAAAACGCTCAGCACGAAAATAGAGAAGCTGGCAAACAGAATGGCGATAACTCCCAGTACTATGCCTGTGGTTGCTTGTCTAGAAACACAAAAATATAGAATGGAGATTTCACATTGCGGAAACGTAAAACATGAATGAGAATGCTGCCGAATGAGAGGAGAATCCTACCCAGAAATGTATCTGGAAGACCCAATACAGCCTCCAGTTCCTGGACCAAAGCACCTAGAGAGCAATCATATTTCAGCTAAATGCAGAACACATAGAGAGTTCACACAGTCCCACAGGTTTGCCTTACCCTTGAGTACAGTTGATGTGACAAGGCTCACAGCGCCCTTGCTTGTTCGGGTACTTAAAGATGACCCCCTCACCTCCCATCACACCCTCCGGACATGAGGAGACACAATGTGGGCCGTCCTGTCGGTTGGCACACGCTACACACTCGTCTGCTCCCTGCACATACAAATGAATGGGTAGACTCGGTTTGAATATAACTTAAATATAGAAATAGAAAAAGAAATGTAAAACTGTAATTAACAAATGCAGTATACTGGACTGGGAAAAAAAAGTTGAAGTCATGATGACATTTAAAAAAATAGATTCAGTAATTATTCTTGTGCCAATAGAGGAAGCCTGCGTATGACAGTTGAGCATTTTTGTGAGCATTCATACCGGGCCTATGCAGGTCTCCTTTCCCTCCTGGACTTTACACTCAGGGTGGCAGGGCATACATTCTCCTGATGCATCTGCAAACTCACGTGTCTCCCTACATTCACATAGAAATAATCAAAATGTTTCCACAGACCACAGATGACAAAATAAGCATGGTCGGGTCGGCAGGACCCGATGAATGAATGGATGAAAACTGACCCTGTCACAAACATGCACTCTGGCACACAAGTTCCTCCTCTGCTGTAGTTTTTGCAGGAGAGACACTGATCCGGGCCTGGACCCCAGCAGCCCTCCGAGGAGCAAAGGGTGTCGCAAACGTGGCCCATCTCAACTGTACAGAAATGCAAAGAGACATAAATTTAATCAAAACTGTGTCAATAGGCTGCACGAGGAAATGCTAAAGTACCGGTGGGCAAATTTCTGTCGCATTTAAATTTTTTTAAACAGGCAGATGTAAAAGAGGTGGGCTCAATTAATACAAGAAGTATTACAGGACTATTGTAATAATGTAAATATTCGGTGACCCGGTTTAAAGGGCGCAGGAGGCAATACGTGGCCCCTGAGCCATATTTTGCCTAACCTTGACCCAAACCAACTCACCGCACTCATTTCTTGGCCGGTTTTCCTTAATATCAATGTACTTCTGGCGTCGCTGCGGGCGAGAACTACTTGTCAAGATACGTGTCCAGTTGACAGTGTCGTGGTAGCATAGCTTCTTGTTTCCTGTGATGTAGACGCTTCCATCATTTATCCTTTGAAGCGATCGTAAGCCCAGAGAGGTCAAAGACGGGATCTTCATCACCAGCAGAGAGTAGCCCCTGAAAAATAATGACAACACGATGCGAGATCCATAAAAAAACAAAACATTAAATTCCAAATGAGATTTAAGACCCCGAAAAATGTAGGTACATGAAAATATTACGATACCTTCTCGAGCTCACGCCTCTAAATGGTTTTAAAGGGATAGAGGAGGGAAAAAAAGAAAACACAAACTGATTAGAATGTGCATCATTTGATATTACATTTACAGTTATCTCATCCAAAGGGAATAAAAACATAGCTGGAAAAAAAAAATCACCGGTAAAGTGTTCTGCCTTGAATGGTTTGCAGATTGGAGAACACGGATAGGTCCGTCATATTTTCAGGCCACGACTGGATACTGAGGATGTCTGAAAATGTTACATTGTGTGTGTTCATGGTCATATCGAAGAAAAATGAACACAATCGCTAAAGAATCTTGAGATCTGAACAAACACAAACCTGTAATCTCTCGCACCGTGTTGAAAATCTTCAGTTTTTCTGGATCAAGGGCTGGAATGTTGTTGTAATCGTCACTTTGATTGGCGGAAAAGACACAAATGTCATTTCAAATCATGCAGATAAGGACACGAACAGTGGCGCGGAGGGAGAGTCTTGTTACCCATGGATCCCGGTCACCAGGAAGTGAAGACTGCCCTGGATCTTTGTGCAGTTAATAAAACTGTCGATGTTCAGAGCATCCACCGTCTGTCGGTTCTGAGTTCCTGTACCGCGGCAAGCTGCAAGGAACGATCTCAATTTAGGAATACTGTAGATGTTGAAAACGTAACACGTAAATACAGACGTCTAAATTAAACAGATTTAATACAATGCAAATGCTTGGTGGACCAGATGAATGAATGGAGCCATTTTTTTGATTCCATGATTTTGTGCTACAGATCTTGTCATGGATCCATTATTGTACATTTAATAAAACAGCACTTTTGAATGCAAAAATCTCAAGTTGTATTTACATCAGAGTCATTCTATGACATTCAGTGCACTGCATACCTTTAGGACAGAGGCCTCCACAGAGCTCACACCTTTTCACCCCGTTTTTCTCCACCTCCATTTTATGGGTGGGACAGTTGCTTACGCATGAGCTGCCATCCACCACAAAGTTTGCTATATGGATGAAAACATACAACATGTCAGCTTCAGAGACAAACGGCACTAATGCATTGAAAATAATAGACCAGTGATTGCTTGAGACTCACTGGGACACTGGGACACACAGATGGAGCCATACTGGTACTTGGCATCGGGATTGGGCTCCAGTTTG